AAATCATTTTCCCACCCTGTTTAATAAATCATAAATAAGAGATTTGATCATTAGAACTTTTTTATGACAAAGTAATTTCAGGTTGTAATACTGTATGTATAAATTGTAATCATGTTTATGAATGAATAATTTATGATATTTGTAAAAAACCATGAATCCAAGACATCAAAAGCTTTTTCTTTTTCTTTTTTGTGGACACTCTCTTTCTCTCTCTCAGATAAGAAAACATCATGTAGGTCTTTGCCTCAAACAAGATATTCTGCACCTTTGCTAATCCGATTATCTGGCCATGATGTTTAAGGGAAAATCATTGTTAACCTGTTTGTGCCAGGCTATTTCAAAATGTTTGTTGGAGAAGATAAGGAAAGCACATCTTGAGGCACACAATGAACTTCTGCTCACCTTTGTGTTTACCTGGAGACTTAAACAAGAACAAATGTGAGAGACTTCAGGATGTTCAAAGCTTAGCTGAGAGAAGAAGAGATTTGCGCCCCAGGTGTGGGAACAATGGCTTGTATCTGAAGGCCATGGGTGGATGGACGCAGTCGGGGGGCTCAGTGAAGCTGTGCTAGAGGACAGAGAGCTCTAAGCAAACAGGGCCAGCGTCTTGGTCACAATGAGTGGGGCGGCTGGTCTCGGTTGGGCTGGGGTGGGGTGGTAGAGGGAGGGGGTGAGAGAGAAAGGCAGCAGCCCTGAAAATAGGGTGTGAATGCAGAATGGGACCAGCGGGATGTGACTGTGAGTTTAATAAGGCTTTGTGTGTGTGGAGGTTCACTTAGCTGTACCTTAGGGAACAAATTGTTGACAGAAGTTGGCAAAGCCCTCTTTGAAAACATCCACAAATGTTAAAATGCTTTACAAAAAAAGGAAATACTATTTGTTTTATTTTAAAAAATGTAAACATTATTTTTGGTGGGGCAGGATGTGGAATGGGGTTAGTTATACGATCAGCGTTATATAGACTAAAATCTATGGTTATGGTATGTCTACATTTATATATAACTAAACGTATGTGTAGCTCTTCAGATTTTTACTAGAATCATCCATATTATTGCAGACACAGATTTCTCACATTTTATGCTTTATGTAAACTGAGGTTTCGGTGAAATTATGTTTTCATAGTTTTGATTTGTCTTGTTAGTGACAACTGTGGCTATTCAATCAGATCTAGTGTGAAATATATATATATATATATATATATATATATATATATATATATATAACATTTTTGCAAGCCACATATAAATCACGAATATTTCATTATATTCAATATTTGTATTTAATTGAAAAGAATATTTCTGGGTTGCATTTGCTGTACAACGACATAACTCGCTGCTTAACTAGTACAATTCATCATTGCAGAAATTAATTAGTTTCCCAAAACCAAGCACAGTAACAGGGTTGCATCTCCATCGTTTGAACCACATTAGTTCAATAATATAAGTCATTAATACCATCAAGCACAGGTGGTGGAATAATAACTTATAATAACTACTAATTAATTATTTCTAGATCACTTTTAATGTCAGCTTCAAAAACACTTCAAAAACTGTTGCTTATTGTTGACACTAAAATATATAGATCGAAAGGTATTAAATGGGATGAAAGATATAGAATGTACTGCATGTTGGCTTGCTTATTGCAATATATGCAAGTCCATATGTCATATTAACAAGAAACGATATGCTTCTAACTTGAGGACGAAAGATGTAGTTCCAACCATATAAGATTGCAATGGTGTTTGCGAATGTTTATTGGTTTCGTGAAATGCAGAATCGGTTAACTATGTTGGTATCGACGAAACTTGCGATCAAAGTTGGCTATCGATGCTTTTGGGAAAGCAACCCCCGGAGCAAGTTACTCAAACTGTGAACATGTTTAGCTAGCTATTTAAATTAAAAAGAAACATAAAGAATAAAGATGCAAGCATTTAAAGGGAAATCTGTCGCCTCCTTGAGGTTTGTTACTAGTGCAAGATTGCACATTAGTATGTCCTTTGGCCAAACATTTGCATTTGAACTTGCCTAAACCTCGTTAAATTTAGTAATTCATCTTATTTTCAGCATTTTAGTTATTTTTATTAGACAAAGATACTGATTAATCATATGATTTTTGCAGTGTTGAGCTGAAACTGCACAAACCATAAGTCTCGTCGATGGTTTCACTCAATCACAAACACACACACACACACTCAACCCATCTCGGATGTTGTTGACACAGCTAGACCCCGTCCTTCCCAGCAGTAGCTGTGCCACTGACCTCACGCTGCTGAAGGGAGGGAGCCGCTTCACCCCTCAACCCTCGCCAACGTCTCTCTCCTCCACCAGTCACTCGCCAAGGACGTGGAAATCCCATAATAGCCCGTCTCCACGGCACCCCACCAGTCCAGCTCCATGCCTCCCAGATGTTTCCAATTAAAAAGGAGGCCTTTCAGTCCGAGCCTATTTTCTGCATGCTGAGAGAAAGAGCAAGAGTGCAGGTTGCAGAGAGATAGAAGGGCTGAAGGGAAGAAAAATGACTTTCTTCTAATACAAAAAGGCCGTTGAGGGCAGCGAGTGACATTTGAAAAGTCACAGTGGCTGGACGCTTGTTTTGAACACAGTTATCTGAGGAATGGAAGATGAGAAGATGAATGGGTATCGCTCATGTCTGAGTCAGACAAAGATTGTCAGATTAAAACCAAGCCTGTGGTCACAAAATCTGGGCCTTGTTTTTTAAAAATGCTGTTCTTTCTCTCTGCTTTGCTTAGGGGTGTGCTGCCAAATATAATCATCACACACAAAAGACACATGGTCAGTATTTTTTCAGTTGGTGTGGTGGCAGCCGCCGGCAGGTCTGTGTTTGCCACTCAAAACCTCAATGTTGCCACAATAGAGACAGCCAGAAAGTAAAGAGAGGGAAAATTTTAAATATATAGTTCACCTAAAAATTAATCTACTCACCCTCATATTTTGGCCTGTTCCTCACACTAAGCTATTGTCTGAGTTCAGAAGAATTGCAATATAGTACATTTATTTATACATTTAAGATTTATTAATGTTTTAAACAAAAGGTTTTGCTCACCAAGGCTGCATTTATTTGATTTAAGTACAATAAAAACGGTTTTTCTTTTAAAATTTATTTTAAAATGTAATTTTTGTGATGGTAAAGCTACATTTTCAGCATTATTACTCCAGTCTTCAGTGTCACATGATTCTTCAGAAATCATGCTTATATGCTAACACTAAGAAACTTTTCTTATTATTATCAATGTCGAAAACAGCATAATATTTTTATGGAAACTATACGAACAGCATATATTTGAAAAATATTTTTTTACTTGCACTTCTAATCGAGTTAAGGCAAGTATCAATTTCTTTAAAAAATAAAATCTTACAGATCCCAAACTTTGGTTGTGTAAAATAATAAATGATTACAGGACTTTTTCAGAATTTTTTGGGGGGTGTGAACTATCCATTTAAAGGTGAAAGCCATAAAACTATTCAATACCTTTTGTCATACATTATAGTAATATACTGTAGTATATTTGTAGTAATATATGTATATGTTGTGATTAAAAAAACAAAAAAAACCCACCAATATAATACAGTAGAAAAGAACAATATTAGTAATCAAAACAATTTGCTCAAATGTGTTAAATATGTCACAATGTGACAATATGTCCTACAAAGTGCTTATTTCTGATGCAAGGTATTTTTTCATTCTTTTGATTAGTGGGTAAAATTGACCTGCTGCATTTACGAAAAGATTGTAGAACCATTGCCACGATCAGCTTTTGTGAAACCGCTTAAATGCATATTAATAGTTTTTCATATTCCAGCAGACAGTTCTCTTTATGTGTTATGAAGCAAGTTAATGGGCTATGTTTTATTTCTTGATTTCCCACGACAATGCTTTTGAGAGCCATTACATGTAATAGCTTGCATGGAGAATAACTTGTATGGAGTTGATGATTTTGCCTATTTTCCTATGATTCGGTCAGTGCTGATGTGGTATGGTGGCCTAGAGCATTCTTCAATCTAATATTGCCAGCCAAGTGAAGCTGTGCCATGTATGGTTTAACTTTCAAAGTCTGCAAGATCAATGCATCTACAAATGTGGGCCATCAGAAGAGCTGCGCCGATCATGCAGAATTGAAACATTCTTCAGTCAAGTTATGCTCCTCCTCGACCTATTATGTATTAGTTTACTAAATATATTGGCTAATTTGATATCAGAAGAGTGTGGTACTCTTTATTTTATCATTTGAAATCCATTCTGATAGATTTGCATTGGAATTACACAAACAGTGGCGAAAATGTGAAAAATAGATTGGTGCGTTGTCTGTATATCTTCAATCTCAACAGGATAGCATCAAAGACCGATGACTCATCGACTGTCTCATGTCCTCAGTTTGCCCGCATGCAACCTACAGTCACGGAATTCCGCAGAAGTCACATAGACTTATTATTTGTACACAACTAACTATGGAACAACTTTAAATCAATATGCCGCTGGGAAGACAAAAAATATAAAACATGATAACATCATATTCAGCATGACAACATAAAAAAAACTGCATCACTTGCGATACAGATAAATCACATAATTGACAAGCTTGTACATCCGTAATCATGTTTGTTTATCTGCTTTGACTTGATTTCATTTTCAGTTCTGAATAGATGCATTCTTTGTACTCTTTTTAAATCCATCCTAAATAATTCCGCCTCACAACAATCCGCACAGAACACGCAAAAACAGTCCACAGATCCGGCAGGATCTTGCCATCATTTACAGTCTTCGAATGACCCTGAAGAGTTTCAACAAAGAGAGTGTTTTACTGTTGTTGATCTCATTAATAGGAGTGTAAATTGAGTTTTCTCTAAGGCTGTGGCCTAAACATTACTACGCAATCTAAAATACATTAAGCGCTTGTTAATGTGTTTTTTCATGTGTTGATAAAGCAGCCTTTGTTCTCACATGGCCTCAAGCACACAATCTCAATGAGTTTTCTTTGGCAGCTTGGGCGGTAGTGGATCTGAGGATGGAGGACACTGTGGAGGTTTACATGGACGAGTCTGCGGAGATCCCCTGCCTGTACACCTTCACCGAGAAACCTGTGATGGTGATGGTGCAGTGGTTTGTGGTGAGTCCCGAAAGCTTTCACATTTTTTAGTTTAAAAAGTTGATTCTTTCATCAGTTACTCACTTTTATGTTGTACCAAATCCATAAGACTTTTGCTCACCTTCGAAACAAATGAAGAAAGATTTTTTTATTTTAACTTTGACACTTCAAAAAGTTCATAAAGACAATATCGCTTTGAATCGAGCGTTTAACCCAAGTTTTCTGAAGAGACACGATTGCTGAACAGCTGCTTGATGAACAGATTTAAAGGGATAGTTCACCCAAAAATTAAAATTTTGTCATTACTCTCCCTCAAGGTGTTCCAAACCTTAATGAATTTCTTTCTTCTGTTAAACACAAAAAAAGATATTTTAAATAATGTTAGAACCAGACAGATTACGTAAGCCTGCCGTGACCTGTCTGGTTACCAACATTTTTTTTAAATATCTTCTTTTGTGTTTAACAGAAGAAACTCATACAGGTTTGGAACAACATGAGGGTGAGTAAATGATGACAGCATTTTCATTTTTGGGTGAACTATCCTTTTAATTTAGGCTATTATTTACATATTAACACTGATCAAAACACCTAGAGCACATCAAATATGGCAAACCAAAGCTCCGCTGTACTTGTTTGACGCTTGAGTACAAGCTTCATTGATTCCTGCGGGAGTTCGAAAGTGTTTGTGTGACATCACGTCATGTGTGTGAGATTATTTACCATATTTGATGTGCTCTATACGCATATCAATGTTTATATGTGAATAAAGCCTGCATTAAATTTGTTCCTCATATAGAGCAGTCATGTCTCTTCAGAAGAATTTTAAACCGCTCGATTTATAAGAATTACTTTTGTACTTTTTAATGTGTGGAAGTTTTGGTTGAGCAGATTTTCAATGGATGGCCAAAATTTGTGTACCAGAGATTAACGATCTCATGGATTTAGAATGATATAAGGGTGAGTAAATGATGATTTTTTAAAGTTTTTTTTTTAGTTTATCCCTTTAATTGTGTTGGAATTGCTGTTACTTTTTAAGTATTCAGACTTTCACCTGGCTAACAATAGATTGAGTAAAAATTCCCTTAGACTTACATTGAACGAGGGACTCGAGTCATATCCACAGACCATGTGCTACGTTTTCTTTCCCATCATCCTCAGCGGGAGCGTGAAGGGAATCGGGTGAGGATCTCCTACAGCGATCTGACCATGCAGAAGGTGGATGAGGACACGAGCTACAGTGACCGTATCAGTGTACAATCTAACAGTGATGGAGAAACTCTGACCATTCAGGACGTTAAGCTGTCTGATGAGAGAGAGTTTTTCTGTCAGGTCAGTGGGTTGGCAGCCGGCAATGGAGAGGGAAGGACTCTCCTGAAGGTTTTCGGTAAGTCTTTTCCTCATGTCAGTTGAATATCGTCACTAAATGGTTTAATATGGTTGCTTCTTATATATATATAAACGTTAAATTGCTGTTGTCAGACCCTCCAGAGCCTCCTGTCATTGAAGGTGTCCTCTCTGGAGTTTCTGTGTCCAGTGACTCCCCCGCTAAGGTACATCATGCACTCAAATTCACCCTGTATGCATATGTAACGATTGTAGCAGTTATATATGCTGGGTTTAAGTTGACGCATCTCTTATTTGGTTAGATTGCATCTTGTGAGACCAGAGATGGCTTTCCAAAGCCAAACATCACATGGTACCGTGATCACATACCCATCCACCCTGCTAATGGACGTGAGTAAGATTAAAATATCCTGTTCCCCATGTACATACCTGTACTATGTATTTATTAAAGGGTTAGTTCACCCAAAAATGTAAATTCTGTCAGTAATTACTCACCCTCATGTTGTTCCAACCCCGTAAGACTTTCGTTCATCTTCGGAACACAAATTAACATATTTTTGATTAAATCTGAGAGCTGGATCACTCCTCCATAGGCTTCTTAAGGGATCGAAACTGGCCGGCCCAAAAGTTATGAAAGACATCGTTAAAATAGTCCAAGTGACTACAGTGGCTCAATCTTAAGTTTATCAAGCAACGAGAATACTTTTTGTGCGCAAAAACAAACAAAAATAACGACTTTATTCAATTATTCATTTTCTTCCATGTGGGCCTCGAGTGAGTTCACGTAGTGATATTGCACAAAGCTTCTGTGTTGCACGTCACACGTAGGCTCACTATTGGCCGACGCTGGTCATGTGTGTGATGTGTGTGACGTACAACACAGAAGCTTTGCGCAATATCACTACGTGAACTCACTCGAGGCCCACATGGAAGGAAATGAATAATTGAATAAAGTCGTTATTTTTGTTTGTTTTTGCGCACAAAAAGTATTCTCGTCGCTTGATAAACTTATGGTTGAGCAACTGTAGTCACTCGGACTATTTTAACGATGTCTTTCATAACTTTTGGGCCGGCCAGTTTTGATCCCTTAAGAAGCCTATGGAGGAGTGATCCAGTTCTCAGATTTAATCAAAAATATCTTAATTTGTGTTCCGAAGATGAACGAAAGTCTTACGGGGTTGGAAGAACATGAGGGTGAGTAATTACTGACAGAATTTACATTTTTGGGTGAACTAACCCTTTAAAGTTATTACAATAACTGTGAAATAATAGGCACTAACCCTGAACCTAGTGTACCCCTAAACCTAACCTTAACCCATGTACTTACTGTACTTTATATTAACTTGTACTTTCTTAAGTACACTGTAAGTACACATAAGTGCACATGCTGTAAAATAAAGTGCAACCATTCAGTTCTAATTCAGTAATTTTAAGTTTTGATATTAATATAATTTGAATATACATTTTTTATACTACCGTTCAAAAGTTTGGATTCTGTATGTTTTTCTTATTCTCCTAAAATTCTCTTATGCTCACCAAGGCTGTATTTATTTGAAAATAAATTAAAAACAGAAAGAACATAATTTATTTTGAAATCTAAATCTTTTGAAACAATGTAAAAGTCTTTACTGTCACTTTTGGCCAATTGAATGTGTCCATGCCACTTTTGAACGGTATGTATATAAATATGAAAAATATATATAAAAAAAACAAGCTTAAAATAATGGACCTTATTTATTTTCTTAATACACATTCCTGGTCTTTGGTACACATTGTGCACGATCACTGTCACAAGTTTGAAAGTCTAAAAGATGAAGATGAGTCAAAAGGTTCCAATACAAATTAATTAATGTATTTTATAAAGAAATAAACAGTAACCGACAATGAACTGAGGAAACACAGGAACTTAAAGCTACGTTTACACAACTTAAAAATGAGAAGTTTTTCCTTTGGGTTTTCCGTGTACAGACGACACCATTGTCAAAACGATCCTCATTCACACGGATCTGCGAAAACGACTAAAAACGCTGTATTTTTACGCTGCCAGGCCATTAGATGGCCTTGAAACACTATAGACTGAACATGTAATACGCATGTGCATGACGTCATCGTCTTCAGAGATTCGTGTTTTTGTTGTTTACACGGAGACCGTTTTCAAAAACTTGCACTTTGAAACCTGTTTTCAAAAGTTTGCGTTTTCAGCCAGCAAATACGCCATTGTCATGTAAATTAATGGTCAAAATGCATAAAAAGTTTTACATTTTTAGCTGAAAACGGTGACATGTAAACAGCCTCTAAGTATACAATGATAACAAACTTAAATACGGACAGCTGTGATGATTAAATGAATTCATGGTAACAAACAAGTGGCGGGGAATGTGAACAAAGACAACAGAAAAATAATGACAATCAAACTAAAAGTCCATGAAAATGAAACTAAACAAACGGATTACTAAATCGTGACAATCACATGATGTCATTTTACATTAAGATGCAATAACTTGCTCCAAACCTATAAGTACAGATCTTAAAATTTTTGCCAATACTAATAAGCCCAAATTATTTTTTTATGTTGTGGCTAACTATGAAATAGCAGATAAATAAATGGGAAATTTTGTGCCAAATTTATTTTCTTGTCCGAATTAAAGATAAAAACCTAAAAGCTAAAATCAATCGCTTTACATGCTACAAATGAATTTAGGCATCACAACATTGTAATGAGTGTGAAAAATAGTTGCCACTAATGTGTGTGTGTGTGTGTGTGTGTGTGTGTGTTTTCTCAGTGGTGAATGTGGTAACGCTAGTGACAAGAGAATCCAGTGGCCTATATACAGTGCAGAGTGATTTGCATTATAAGGTGACCAAGGAAGACAAAGACGCCTACTTTTCCTGTGAAGTCAGCTACTTTGTCCCAGCAGCTGTCAGGACATCCGAGTCCAAAGGCGTCAATATTACAGTTCACTGTAAGTCCCTTTATAATTGAGAGTTTCTTTTGATGAAGTGGAATGCGATACATCCAATCTTTTCCATGACAATCTGAATTTTTGTTCTAACCACACTCTTAGAAAGAAAGGTTCAATGGGTTCTATGATGCGTTCTTTATTCAATAGGTTTCTTTATTCTTGACCCAGTTTTAAAGAACGCTTTATGCCAAAAAGTTTCTACATAAGGAAACATTTCTTAAATTATTGAATAATACTTTCATGTTTAACAAGTTATTTCAATTTTACTAGTGATAAGGTATGTTTATGAGCTGTTTAATTAATCAAATTTAATGAAAATAAATCCATAAAATGCTCACATGATGGGAACCCCTAAAAGTTTTTATATATGAAACACCTGACAGAACCCTTGCTACAACATTTTGTTGGTTGCTTGGTTTCTGTATCTGTTGCATCGGGCTAGATAGCTCCGCCCACTGTGAAATCTCATTGGTCCAAAATCCCACTTTACATACCTGCATATTAGACATCATATTTGACTTTACTGGCAATGATTTGATCATTTCACATAGCGTTTTCAGTTTCATTGTGGACAAAAACCTATATTTGAATCTGATGACAATCTTTGTGCGAACACCATCAGATTTGACATGTCTAACATGGACATGTAAACATGTTTCATGTTTTTAATATTTCAGATAGCGTCAGTACGTCACAGGTAATGATAAACTTTGAGTTGTGTTCGTCATGACACAGCTATGAAGCTCTTTGCTTTGTCAGCTTTGACTAAATAATTGAGTGTGAGAATTATGTTGCATTGGACGAGATACGTATGAATGAATTAAGATTCATGGCCCCTTGGTCTTTGTGTATGTTCGTATGTCATATAGACCCGACAAGCAGCGTGGAGATATGGAAAGAATCGCCTGAGGGCTTGGTCAAAGAAGGGGACACAGTGGAGATCCGTTGCCAAGGCGATGGGAACCCCCCAGCACCCATCATTTTCAACCGAGAACAAGTGAGAATAGCCTCTTTTTTTCTCTTTTTATTCGCACCCGTTTTTCCTGAATGGGAGGCTGTAAAGCATTGAGAAGAAGCGGACGTAGCAGACGTCTAGCTCAGACAATGTGCTTGATATGCACAGACAGAACAGTACCATTACTGACTTGCAGCTTTATGTAAGTGTTACGTATGCATTTGCTTTAATGACATAGGGCCTCATTTATAAAACGCGCATGCGCACAGATTTAGGGTACGTTTACACGACAACGATGTGCTTAAAACGTTTTCCGTGTTCAGACGGCAACATTGTCAAAACGATCCCCCATTCACACGGATCTGCGAAAACAAATAAAACCCCCTGTATTCTGCTGCCAGGCCATTAGATGGCGATGATTGAACACGCATGTGCATTACGTCATCGTCTTCAGGGATTCGCTTTGTTGTTTACACGGAGACTGTTTTCAAAAAATTGCACTTTAAAACCCATTTTCAAAAGTTTTTGCGTTTTCAGGCAGCCAAAACGCCGTTGTTGTGTTAAAAGAACGGCCAAAACGCATACAAAGTTTCACGTTTTTAGTTGAAAATGGTGTCGTGTAAACAGCCTCTCAATCTTAGGCCCTGTTTACACCTGGTATGAAGATGCGTTTGGTCGATCGCTTCACAAGTGGATGAAGCTAAATAGTGAACGGGGTCTAAAACGTTTTGAGCTTGTCCACTATTGACCACTTCCAGAGGTAGTCGAAAACAAATTTGACCGGATTGCTTTCGTAGTGTAAAGTTTAAACGCTCATGTGGTCGAATGCGGGTCAATATAGCCACAGAAGACCGCCGCCTACTGACCTAATGCGTAAACGTTACTGTTTGGAACTCCACTCCAGCAGCAATAATATAATAAAACCCTGTTAGAATAATTTCACAGCATTAAAGTTCAATTATTTGGTGTGCATACTACCACACTTTTTTCAGCCAGCCAGTCTATAAGCTATAAAATAACCTATAATGCAGAACATATTGAAGTGAGACAATGAAAATTAACACTTACTAGTCAAAAATGTATGTTAAGACAATTTGTCATTAGTTGATTAGTCCATCAAAGAATTCAGTGTTGGTTCTTTTTGACAATTACAATTTATTTACATAATTTTAATTACCGGTAGTTGTGGTCTGTGAAGGGCAGTGTTATTTTAGTATTTTTTATATATTCTATTTATTTATTCTATATATATCCCCCCCCCCCCCCCCAATTCTGCAATTGCAATTCTGTAAAGAAACTTAAGATCATTTAATGGAAATAAAGGATGATAATTTATCATTCAAGGGAAATCTTAATCAGTATGATAGACATTCTCACTGTTCTCTCTGTCCTGCTCTTAACAGTCAGATGTGGAGCTGGACTCCTATCATGGGCTGCTGGTTCTTAAGGAGGTGTCTCGAGCAGACAGTGATGTGTATGAATGTCACTCTCTGGACCTGGATGCAGTGAACCATGATGAGGTGGTGGACACCCTACAGCTCACTGTGCACTGTGAGTTCTGCTTCTCAATTTTACACACCCTGATTTTGAAACTAGAAATAAATTGCGCACCACCACCATAATATTATCATCCATTAGAACTAGTATCTTAATAATGTTGAATAACATTTACTATTCTGTTCAAACGTTTTTTTTAAATATTATTTTATTAAAGAAATGAATACTTTTATCCAGCAAGGATGTATTAAATTGATCAAACATGGCAGATTTGTACATTGTTACAAATATATATATATATATATATTTCAAATAAATATTGTTCTTTTGAACTTTCTATTTATCAAAGAATCCTGAAAAATAATAATAATCATGGTTTCCACAAACATATTAAGCAACGCTTTCAACAATAATAATAATAAGAAATGTTTCTTGAGTATCAAATCAACATATTAGAATGATTTCTGAAGAAATGACACTAAAGACTGGAGTAATTGGTGATAAAAATTCATATTTCCCATCAAAGGAATAAATTACTTTTCAAAATATATTCAAATAGAAAACAGTTATTTTAAATTGTAATAATATTCCACAACATTACTATTTTACTGTATTTTTAATCAAATAAATGCAGTCCTGGTGAGAATAAGAGAAATCTTTCAAAAATATTAAAACATCTTACCATCCCCATACTTTTGAACGGTAGTGTACATTAATTAATTTTGCAGATGCTTTAGTCCAAAGTGAATAACAAATTAGAAGAAAAAAAAATCATTTAATATAAAGTAGCCAAATGTTAGCCAAATATTAGCAGTGAACTTTTTGTTGAAAAATGAAGTTACTCTATTGATTTTTTTTTAAAGCTGCAGTCCGTAGCTTTTCCTCTTTGTCGCCATCTCTCTGTTCGAAATCTGTAACTGCAGTGATTCGCGGAATTATCATCTTTACGTGGGTTGTAAATCGGCATGAAACAGCGCGGATGAACACAGTGCTTTGAGGCGAGTGCTGCTGTCAGTCACCGCGCTGTGTGGATACTGTCATACAGAATCACAGATTCACTTTTTGAAAGTTTGACCAACATAAGAATTTTCATAAGAAAATGTCTTCTGAACAAGTAAGTAACATCCATTTTTGTTCTGACCAACAAAGGGGGAAAAAGCATTCGACATGATAAGCTTCGTTAGATTTAATCAACGCGATTTACAGCAACCGTGCAAATTATTGCCTACTTTGTTCTCAAATTGTTCATGTTAACAACATCAGCATTGCGTGACTAATGTTAAATTTAATGTGTTTTCTGGTTACCTGTGTAGTTCAGAATTCATATTCTCCATAATAGCAAAACGAGAAAGGCACAACAAAGGAAACTCCATAACTGTGTGAATTAAGAAAACGTACTTTACACGATTGAACTATTGAAATGTCTTACTTGTTCAGCAGAAAAAAGCCGTCTCTTCTTCCGTTTTGAACCCCTTCAAAACACGGAGTTCACGCACTTTTCAAAAGCCCCGCCGATGTTTAAATCCTTGTGTTCGCATGAGACGGTATCTTTCTCTTTCTCTAGCCACCTTAAATCCGAAGTCCGAAGTCTTTTGGGTTTTATAACTGCTGAATCTCCAGTTGACACTGATGATTGTTGTTTGGATCTTTCTGGATGCCATAAGTTTAATTATGTAAAGTGCTGCGAGAAAAGCCTATACATCTAAACACCTCGTCACGCGCAGTATAGCCGGCTAGCCGAAACTCCTTCTTTATGTGTACGGGTGTGACGTCATGACGCAAAGACATGCTCGAATTTCCCGCGGAAACCCACCAGTACCACTGGAATTAAAATCATTATTACAAGCTAACCGTTTTGAATCTAGCTATGGCAAGCAGATAGTTTTGACCACTGGCAGAATAAGTTTTTTTTAATATAATTATCTTGGATTATTTTTAACTTAAAAAAGTTACGGACTGGAGCTTTAATTATTCATTTTATATATACTTTCTATGTTGTAAATAATTCCTTTCAGTCAATTATTGACCGTTTACAGATGATACTCAACCAGAATGCTTCATTTGCTGCCACGGGTACAGTCACAGATGCCTAGGTTTATGTGTTCGTCTCTGTGTGTGTGCAGATCTGGACCCAGCTGTGGTGATGCCCAAAGACTCCGAGGTCATGCTGAAAGGAGAGAGTCTGACAGCCACCTGCAATGCCCTGTCGTCTTTAGAGACCACTACTGTGTGGTTTAAGGTAACACTGCAGTGTGATTCAGCAGTCTGGACACATTCATTTAGTCTTCCACATTCTGTTTAGAGCTTCTTTTCACCCCATCTGTTCCTCGCTAAATTTGTTTGCGTGCGTTTGTTTGTGTGTAGGATGGGATTGAGGTCGTAAGAGGACACATAATGCAGCTGCAGGACGCCACATTTGACACAGCTGGACAGTATGACTGTGCAGTGACTGTACCGTCTCTTCCAGGCCTGTCGACCAGCGGTTCAGTCCATATCATCGTACAGGGTAAGGAAGAGCTCAGCAAGTATTTAAAGGTGGAGTAGGTGATATTTGAAAAACGCTGTTGGACCAACACAACCAGACACAACAACAAACGTGTGGCCAATCAGCATTAGGGGGCATATTACAGTGGAGGAGACAGAACGAGCAAGAGGGAGATTTGAAGGAAGACTGTAGAAAGAGAGATGGCTGAGAGACATTACAAAAGAGAAAAGCTCATATGAATATCACTGGAAACTGAAGGGATATGATCAGGAAAGAGCTTTAGGACCCGCGTTAATATTATAAAAAAAAGGTTTGTCTCGAGCTGCTGTGCTTTTGACATCTAACAACGAACTCTCGTTTGTATTTTCTCTTGTGCAAGTATGTACATTTTTTGTTCTTTCTTATCGTTCGTTCATCATCTTCGCTTTATTTTTCGTGACGCCTTATTTTGTTGCACTTCTGCTACGATAAATAGACATCCACTCTTGCATTGCGTGTGTAACAGAGGCCAGCTAGTGAGAGAATGCGGTGTTTACTGTTTGTTAGTGCACTCGCCATCAGGGTTCGAGACCGACTTGGAGCAGGGCAGTTTGGATTGGAGGGGGAGCTTTGGAGGCGGAGCAATGAAGAGAGGGGTGTGTTTGTTTGGGTTGATTTCAAATATCAACAATGTTCAGCAACGACTTTGAGAAAGAAGATACTGCACTTTTAAGATGGACCTTTTATGCTCTTTTACATTTTCACTAACTTTCTTTAGTGTGTAACTTGCTGTTTGAGCATGGCAATTTTTTGCAAAGCACAAAGACACTCCAAAGGGAGTTATTCTCTATATCAGTGCGCACTATTTCTGAACTCCCTGGAACGCCTCCATTGTAGTCCTGAGTTTTCTTACGGAAACGTACACTGCAAAATATTCCTCATTTAAATAATTCCTGGCCATTTTAGAGTTTTTTCGATCCGTTTATTCTTGGTTTGGTAACAGAGCTCTGACACTCCGATTGTCTTGTCTTGTCATGGTGGTGAGTGTGCGGTTTCGAGTTCGCTCGGGCTGTGCGTTCTTCTGTCCACGTGAGTTGTTTTGTGTGCGGAGCATGGTGTTCGGATCCCAGCACTTCGGTCTAGTTAGGTTTCGGTTCTGTGTCAGGGTTCGGACGTTCATGCTCCATGTATTTGTCTTCTGTTGCAAGCGTCTAAGCGCACGGAATGAGCATTTGCTCACTCTACAGCGTCGGGCCGTACGCTCTTCTGTCCATGTGTGTGTTTTGTTCTGTGTTGCACGTGGCTCATGTGTTTCATCAGCCGTGTGCTTTCATGTTGTCCTTGTTTTGTGTGGATACACAGTCGGTGAGTGCTCTCATTGGCTGAGTGTTCGTGCCTTGTTTTGTTTGAGCACATGGCTTGTGATCGTGTCTAGCCCTGCGAAGCCTTGTCTTGCGGTTTCCAGCCCAGCCCAGCCCTGCTGCCAGTCAAATTTCCCCCCTAAGGGGTAGTTTTTCTTTAGTTTTACTATTAAATAAAAAGCCCATTATTTCTGCATCTTGAGTCCTCGCCTCATCCCTTAACCCAACCCTGAAAGCCCAAGGCATTCGCAAAAAAACTGGCGAGGCCTGATTGAGTTGCATTAGTAGTGTGTTAAAACCATAGACTGTATAAAAAAAATACTTGAAACTCACAGTTATGGTAAGGGCGTGACATTTCCGAAACACGCTGGAAGCGGTTGACCAATCACAACACACTGGTCTAGCTGACCAATGAGAGCACATTGCACTTTTCGGTAGGAGGGGCTTCATAGAGACAGGAACTTAACAGGGCTGCATTTTATAATGTAAATATGGGGAAAATAATGTTTTTTGAACATCATAAAAGGCATAATAAGAGCTATACATTTAGTAGCAGTATATTTCTAAAGTTGTTACTGGATCTGTTCCTCTAGGTGCGCCTCAGATGAAGGATGCGGAGAGGGAGATTGAGCTGACAGAAAAGGTCGGGGGGTGGTTAAATCTGAGCTGTGAGGTGAGAGGTTACCCTCGACCCACCATCACCTGGAGCGTCACTGGCAGCCAGGTAACACAGATTTCCTCTCAGTCCTCTGCTCGTGTTACACAGAGCTTGTATTGACGCTTTTGTCTTGTATGTGTGTGTTGTACTCTCAGGGCTGGCGTGAGGTTGTTAAAAGAGAGACGGAGGAGCAAGTCCACAGTGTTGTGATGCTTAAAGTTACCACTGACATTGTTGCTATCTGCAATTCAACAAATGACTTTGGAATAGAGAGCAAGACCTACAACATCAGAAGCAGTAAGAGTCAATATTTTCCTTGTTTACATTGAAAATCAGGAAACATAATCACTATAATTAATGATGATGAAAATGATCCATTTTGTTAAATAGAGTATTTTTGATTATACATTCAATGTATTTAAATATAATTGACTAAATGTATTGTATAGTTATAAATGTAATATTTATTTTAAAATAGGTAGATGTAATATCTATACATACGATTACTGTGTGCAATTTTATACATACATTATTAATTTTATTGCTATTTTTTATTAAAATATTATTTATTATTTAAAATTAAATGTATAAAATTAATAAAAGAATTAAATTTAATATTTGGGTATCTATTTAGATTATTTTCATTTATTAGGGATCAAAATTTGTACATACACTACCGTTTGGGGTCAGTAAGAACTCTTCTGTTCTTCAAGGTTGCATTTATTTGATAAAAAATACAGTAAAAACAGTATTATTGTGAAATATTATTACAATTTAAAATAACTGTTTTCTATTTTAATATATATATATATATATATAATTGTATATCATTTTCAGCATCATTACTCCCGTCTTCAGTGTCACATGATCCTTCAGAAATCCTTCTAATATGCTGATTTGGTGCATTTCTTATGTTAAAAACAGATGTAACATTATAAATGTCTTTGCTTGTTTGATTTCACTGGTAATACTGGCTGTTTGGAATCAAAAATGTTAATGTTGTTCCTTGTTTTCGCCCAGTTCCATTCTCCCAGACTCCAACGGCTAGAAAAACTTCAGGTAACATTTTTTTTTTTTTCATCTTCTGTTCATAACAGATCATAAGTTTTAGATCAACACCCAGTCCATTTAATCCCCGCAAAATCCATCCCAACCAAACAATGAAAGATCATCTTATGTACTTGAATAATTCATCGATTTTCTATGGTGAAGCCTCCACAGCAGCTCGGTTAGCTTGGCTCTTCGTGTCGGCCTCTGGGCATATTTAAAATTCTGTGTGAAGAAAAAAGTCATACTGCAAAAAAAAAACAAAAAAAAAAAAACCTAGCAAAAATTGAAGCAGACATTACTTCAGATAGCAGGGGCAGAGCAAGCGCTGAATGTTTTCCAAGATGAATGTATAATTAGTTCTATGCAAATACATTAACAAATGTTTTGAAGTGCTGGGCTGCAACTGAGACTGTTAAATATTATGGTGAACATTGTGGTGGCAGCTTGCTGTTTTATTGAGTAGATTTAACTCATAAAATCCATTCCCAGACAATTGTTTGTCGTCTCTCAGTGTTTATTTATAGCATTTGATGACGCTTCCTCTGAATGACGCTCCTTAATTTTCTTTATTTGACTCGGGGGAATATGAGTCTCTTATTCCATTTTACTAAAACACTCTAATTATATGTTTCATATACCAAACTAGTCTCATTTACAAGGACATGCGTCCTTGTCATGTGGCACACATTTTGAATCCAAATGTTCCAGCCATTGTTTAAAAGTGCAGTGTAACGTGCCCTTCAGTGTTCTTTTCGTGATCTGGTATGGGATTTCACTTTTGTATTTTGCCCGAAAGCACATTTATTGCATTTCAGCATGAATTAATCTAGTCTTAATTAGTCTTGTTGAAAGGGTAATACTTCATTGGTTATTATATGTCAGTCAGTCATGCTAATGTTGACGTCTCTTGTTCTCTTTTTGCAGTCGATAATAGTGGAGTGATTATTGTGGTGATTATTGTGAGCATCCTGTTGCTGGCCATCCTGGGCAGCGTCTTCTACTTCCTGTATAAAAAGGGCAAGCTACCCTGTGGACGCTCAGGCAAGCAAGAAATGTATGTAATAGTTTTTTTCCCCATACATTAGTACAGGGGTTTTTAAACTGGCTGCATTGGAGTGTGAGAGGGTCTGTGGATAAGTTTAGAGAAAAACTGTAAACCAAAAAAAAAAAAAAAACCCAGTAAAAACTAATAAATAATAATACAAATTATCATTACATCAAATAAATTCATATTTTGATTAAAATAAGTAAAGCATTTTTAAATAAATAATTAATACATCTAACAGTACGGTACTATAGTATGTAGAAACATAAACATAATAATGTAATATATTTTCCAAAATAATTTGACTCATATTTATAATATAACATTTTTACTGTAAAAATTGGGTCTTTACACATGAAAATACACAGCTCCATTTTAGCAATAGTGGTCCTGCATGAGGATGGTCATATTTGGGGGACCAAAAACCCTGCATTAATATACAAGTTGATATGGTATTATCAAGTTTTTTGCATCTAAAGATGCCATGGTATTTTTTTAAAGTATCCTACAGTACCACCATGTGAACTTTATGGTATATGACACATGAAGTACCATGGTATACCAGTTAAAAGTTTAGGCATCTCTACTGTTTCATGAAAACATTGAATAATACGGTTTAATTAGGTTTAGTTTATATTAGGTGTCATGAACTAAATGTTTTTACAGCATTTATTAATCTAGGTTAATGGTAATTTATAATTATATGTGTTCATTGTTAATTCATGTTCGTTCATACTACATTAATGTTAATTTATCCAACTTGAACTATTCAATAGGTATTAGCATAAATTATCTTTTAAAAGATTGTTGTCGGCAAGTTTTTTTATTTTATGAAAAAAGCCTCTTATATTCACCAAGGCCGTATACTGTACAAAACATAATAGTGTGAAATAATAATAATAATACAATTTAAAATAACTGTCTTCTATTTTAATATCTTTTAAAATGTTGGCCTAATTAATTCCTGTGATGGCAAAACTGTCATTACTTCAGTTTTCAGTGTCACATGATCCTTCAGAAAGCAGTCTTGTGTATCGGTGTGTTATTGGTGTGTAATCTCTACAGCATTAATGCCTACAGCACCAAGGAGAAGACTAGCAAAGATGACATCGTCGTAGAGATGAAGGCAAAAAAGACGGAGGAGTCTGTCCTACTGAAGGGCGTCAATGGGGAAAAGAAACCTCTCAATGACCAGGTAACCATCTATACTTAACTCTTATTCAAAGTACATAGCAATTATCAAGATGAGGTGGCCATCAGGAACATCCCTTTAACTTTATTACCGTATATGGTGCTTTCTCCTGAAATAAAGAACAACATCCATAGCTCATAAACGGAGGATTGTCGTCGACTAAAGATGGCATCTGTTACTCCCTGCTGACCCAACATCAAGACTTCAGAGCTGGAGGCCGTCTTGTGGAGCAGCCATCTTTTCTGGATAAAGTGGACTGTACTTTTGTATCTCGTGTGTGAGCAGGAGCATTCATGCTTGGATAAATGGGACGTAAGCGAGCTGATCCATAAAGGAAGATTGTTCTCTATTTTCTACTGTTCTTCAATGTTTTTCTTCAACCATCGACCAATTCAAGACAGTGGAACTTTTCCATAAAAACAAGCAAAATGAATTACAGAGCAAACTGGTTGAAAAAAAAAAAACTGTCTACATTGATGCTGTCTACACAGGGGCTACGTTCACACTGTCAGTCCAAATCTGATTATTTGTGTATCCGATTGGAATCTGATTTAAAATTATTGACTGTCCACATTTTGTATCGCAACTGTTCAGGGTTGTGTTTCCCAAAAGCATCGTTGGCCAAATATAATCGCAATTTCCATTGAACTCTATTGGTAACGACGGAACTTGCGACCATATTTTGCTTTTGGAAACGCACCCCTGATCCGATTTGTGTGTCCCATGCCGCTCTTTTGTTTTCCGAAATATCTGCATTGTTTTTATGGCAATGACGTTGGGTTGGTAGGCATACGCCAAAAACTACAACAACAACTGCAAGGGTTTGCAATACAGATGTTGTCTTATTTACAAAATGTAAATGTGTTGCCGCCGCGCTGGACTACTTATGAGCCAGCGGCAGAACCGTAGGAGGCTTTATTCCGTACTGTAGTCTCCGCCAGTCTCAAAACATCATGTCTCCGTTATATATTCATTTTCTGATCCTCCGGCACTTTAAAGCAACACAACCATGTTTCAGCAGCGACTTTTAGCATGTCTCCTATAACAACATCTGACGTTTCCATTTTACGTGGTGTGAGAAAATCACATAAACCACGCGAAATCTGATCAGGGGTGCGTTTCCCAAAAACATCGTTAGCCAACTATGGTCGCAAGTTCCGTCGTTATCAGCGTAGTTCAACGAGTCGGTGTTTCCCGAAACCATCGTTCTGACGAACATTCGCAAACAGCATCGCAAAGTTGTGTGGTTGGAACGACAGCTCTCGATCTGTGGTTTGTTTTCATGACATGTGGACTTAATAAATCCTTATCTTGAGCCACATAAGCAAGCTGACATTTCACACGCTGTATCTTTTATTTAGAATACATATTTGTCGTTTACGCCTTTTAGTTTGCCAAGAGTTTTTGGAGAGTGCGCATGTGCGTGCGACGTGCTCTATAACGTAAGAACAAGCCTATGATTGAATCTGGAAATAAAGCAAAATAACTGAGAAAAATTAGAAATAGTCCTCATGCAGATGCCATGTCTGTAATTTATAGCAATACATCTAGCATTAATTCGATCTCAAACAGATTCATTAAAAGTAGTTCTTACTCCACCACGTGCGTGACATCATTAACCAACGTGGTTGAACGACCAATTTTTGACAATACAGTTTTGGGAAACAGTCGTGACTAGCTAGTTGATTTCTTCAACGCTGCATCGTACTATGGTAGTTAAAGCTATGGTATACGATTTTGAAAATCGGTCGAGAAAGCCTGAATTTTTAAAAAACGCATCCCGCCCCTCCACACACACACACCACTCTGTGCTACCTGATCCCTCCCACCGGGAAACGAACTGAACTACGTCACTCAGTAAAGCTGTGATCTAATGACCTCGCTATAATGACACATCATATGTAAAATTGCCTTTAGACACTTGAACTTAGTTGCTTCATCAACAATTCAATGTCACGTTTGAGTTCACGTCAACGCAAGATTAGCAACACATGCAATGTTCTAAACTCCCTACCACCATTAGTATAATCCTACTAGTATTGCTAAGGTTTTCAGTAATTGTTATTGCAGCACACAGCGCATCTTGTTCAAATTTCGATCGGCTCGAACAGAAACCCGCTAGGCCTACTGAAATATATTCAAGGACTTCAAGAAATATAATTACTTTGACCCGTGATAGGCGATGCTAAACGGCTAACATTCCAATACTGACCGACTGCATGAGCAAGTTGTCAAACTGATAAAAAGCTATTTATGTAACACGTCACACCATAAAAGTATAAATAAATGTTTACCTGCTCAACAAAAAGTCAGCCGTGTCAGCGTCGGTCTTCAGTCCCAGATCTTCCTGAAGCTTCCTCCAACGGTCAATGGTGGAGGGTCCATATATTTATCCTAGTCAAAGTTCGGCGTTCTTCACATTTTTTTTTTATCTCTGCTCGTTCCTCTAATGACTTTCTCTTTCGTCCTAACTTTACTGTAGGGGCAAGCAGGGGACGCTTGCTGCTGTCTTTTTTTTTTTTATCCATTGCTGATATGCTACTTTGCTAGCTACCATAGACTGTCAGCTGCTTACGCGCGCAATTTCATGACGCAGGAGGGGGGCGGGTGCGGTGGAGACGCGAGTGCCAGGCGGAGTTTCAAGTGGAGCTGGTGATTGGATGAGAGCAGTTGACCAATGTAAGCTGTCCGGCCGGACACCTTACATTGGTCAACTTCTCTGCGGCTGTACAGCCAATAGAGTGAATGGATTTTTTTCATTCTTTTTTCTATTCCTATTGTTAGGATTGTACTATATAACCATAACCAGCATCTAAACGACGATATTAATAATGAACAATCTTTGAAATCGTATACCCTAGCTTTAAGCAGCGAGTTACGTCATTGTACGGGAAACGCACCCCAGAACGGTCGGACTGAAACGGATTTCCAGAAATGCGAAAACAGATTTGGACTGACAGTGTGAACGAGGCTTTAGAGTCGCCGTTAGTAAACGGTTGGCCCGTTCTAGTGCTGACGTACTCCTTGCGATAGTTTCAACAACAGGACAAGTGGATTTGGCGCATCCAATGTAGACAGCCTCAAGCTTTGGCGATGCGACAAAACCGTGCAAATTGGGACATTGATTTGAATGTAAAAATGCTTTTACAGACTAAATTCATTCTGCTTGTTTAACGAATGAGACACAATGTCTCTTTTAAAGAGACTGCCATCGCTGGAGCCTGTAGCGCGATGACGTTCTGGATTAAATCCATTATGTAGTGGACGCCTGACCCCAAACCAGTTCAGCACAAAACTCCACCATGCAGCCGATTATAGATTAGTGATGTCAGTCACAGTGATGTCAAGATTTAATTGCTGATGTCAATCACAGTGCTGATTGCTTACACAACACTACAACAAATACACTCTAAAAAAAATGCTGGGTTGTTTCAACCCATGTTTGGGTCAAATATGGACAAACTTATGGTCCCCCTTTGGTGAAAATCAAGGTTTTAATATTGTTTATATATGTGTTGTTTTTAATATGCTTTAAGACAAACCATGTGCAAATTCATAAGTCAACACCATTGCTCAGTATTTTCTCTTTAAAACTGCAGTGAACCAAAGACAGTCTCAAAAACGCGGTTTGAAATCGCTGGTGTTTCTGACGTCACAAACTACCTTGTAACCAATCAGGTCAACATGTGATCATCAACGAGTGGATGTCTTAAATATGTCATTTAAACGCTTAAATATGTCATTTTGGTGAATATGAGTTTTAAGGGATACAATGATTGACCACAAGGGGGGCTTTGAACCAATGGTTGGGTTGGTCCATATTTGACCCAAACATAGGTTGAAACAACCCATCATTTTTTTAACCTGGTTTGCTTCCACTACCCATTGAATTTAATTCAGTTCATCAGCGCGATACAGACTGCAGTGTTGACATCTTGTTTTTAGACCACAAAAATGTATATATTATAAATATGTTTTATTGATCCTATTTGTGTGACCCAATTCGTTCCACTTGTGCTTTTCTAAGCTCTGTTCAGAAAATATTTAGTTTTGAAATCCTTGCGTGATGCCGCGGAAAGCATACGTTGAATTTTTTTTTTTTTTTTTTCATATGGTGAAAGTTGATTTTGTTTTCTATGTACAGTACAGAACAGTTCCAGTAAATCCTAATGGACCAAAAAATAAATCCAAATTCCGTTTCAAAGGCTGTTACTTAAAAAACCCACGTAAAGTCATTGAGAATAACAGATGTGTACACACAGCCCTTCACAATATTAAGAAACCCGTTCAACTTGGCAGTAAAAGGAGGAAATGGATAAACATGACCAGGATTCAGCCAATCAAACAGAGCTGACACTTAATAGTGTGTGTACGGTCCAACTCAAACTACTGCAGAGCTCATTTACTGTTTGTAAATAGTCGTAGGGAAGGAAATTGTAGCTCTTTGTGTTTTGACTGCTGAGGGGAATTGCAGCTCCCTCTGTTTTTGCCTCAACTGCAGTGCCTGCGGAAATGTGTCTTCATTTCACATCAATGTTAGTTACACTGAAACCTTTGTGTTGTCTTGTCCGTTTTGCGCATGTCTCTGTATTTGGTGAGGGGAACGTTTTTGTTGTTTTCGCAAATGCCATGAATAATTATACGTTTTATAAAAAGACGCCGTATGGTTTAGCCTGAAAACTTTTGGATCCTTAAATAATTTTGTTTTAGACTTTTGTTACGATCATTCAGTCGTCAATGTGATTTGTTCTAATGTACAGAGTTTTTCTTGTTTCATATTGTTGAATGTGGCTGGACATGATGGCTTTGGCTTTTACGTTTGTTCAAAAAGGACATGACACACATGTTATCTACATCAGTGTTCGAGGAAGCTGAACCTAATATCTTCAGGACTGTTGTTGCCATTCTAAACCACACTTGGACAATTCATATTCGATTATAGCTGTGCTCATGCATTCTTTTAGCCTCAATGTTATAGTTAAATACCATCAAAACATCTAAAAAGTAGGCTGATGTTGTCCGTTTTTTGTTATTTTGCTCATTTAAAAAAGCTTTGCATTTATCGATGTAACAGAAACACAGGCATCTTTTTTATATATTTGTGCAAATGTTGCATTTTAATAATATTTACACTCTCTAAATATAAGTGTGAGTCATTTGAGACTGTCAGAACACTGTCGAACCACTGCATACTACACTGGCACCTTTTTCCTGCCTGTCCTTGTGAGCAAATTATGTTGTAATAGCACAAACTATCATTCTCGTTGTAAATTGTTCGCAAACAGTTCCGCAATGTTTTATGTTTTGATTTCACTTATGGATGTAAATTAAGTACTTGTGGTTTGATGCGTTTGATGCTTGCATTTTTTAAAAATACATTTTGGCCCAAAAAAATAAAAATAAAGATATGTTACATTCAATGTTTGTCTCCAGCTTCTTGGAAACCTTCAATTTTGATACATCATTTTAGATGCATGTCT